ATAAAAGACCTATAAAAAAAGATAAAAAATAAATTATACCTATTTCAAAATATTACAAAAAAAAAATACCAATTTCATCTAATCTTAACAAATTACCTTCAAACTATGTTTTCTATCTTTATCACATATTGTTTCATTAAAACTGTCAGTAGAAATGAAAAATTTTTAACTGGATCTGCCCTTTATCGTATTAACGATGATAGTGACGAATTTAGAGAATTCACCTATAAAGGCTTCACCGGAAGCAGTGATTCGTTAATAATTAAGTTCGAAAAAAACTCTATCATTCTCCTTATTGGTAGATACATTTATCAAGAAAATACTGAATTTGTAAGTTAACTTACCTAGTGTTTTTTAACTTATTTCTCTATTTAAAATTTATCATAATTTTTTTAAAGGTCAGACTTATTCAGACAATACCAATTTCCTCTTCTTCCGATTCTTCATGTTCCCCAGAAGACCTCCTTTATTCATTCTCTCTGTTAATATACACCACTCCTGCTGTAACAAACTCCTATAAATTTAACGATAACATAGGAAGACAAAGCTTTATGTTATCTAAAAAGCTGTATAATCTGGTAAATGGTCAAAAAGGTCTAGAATCAAATATAATTGTATTCTATACCAATGCAAATGGCCGCTACGATTCGCTTAAAGAAAGCCTAAAGAAAAGTGTCATTTCAGCTGTTAGAAGATTAAAACTTAATTTTACCAGTAAAATCTCCCACATCATTTTATTGGAAATCGAATAGAGCTATGCCATGGTGGATGCAAAGTCCTCACTCTATTCATCTAATACAAAAGCCAAATCAAGCGAAGAATTTAATAATCAACTTGACATAATTGAGGAGCAATATGTAACAATGAATTTTCAACCTTCTAATAAAAGAAAAAGAGGTGGATTCTTCCCCTCACCAACAAAATCTCCCACTAACAATCCACCACCTACTGATCTTGAAGAACTTGCAAACCAAATAAGAACTAACCAACCTGAAGCTCAACAAACTTCTACAAACACCTCTAAAAAAAATTAAATTAACACTGTACCCTTTTTACAAACTGTTATTCTCTGATTAATTAATAAATAAATAAATTCTTAAAATTCTTTACTATTAGATTACCAAATTTAGTTTCTACCTAATATTAGGAATGCAAAATGATTTTGTCCAATATTTAAAGTGTTCTATACATAATATAATGGTTACGAAATTTATTATTCCCGGGATCTTTAAAATCATTTAGTTACATTGCATCTAAAAGTAATACATTACCTAACTTTTTTGTATATCCAATTTACATTCCAGCTCCGTAAAATTATCTACAAGTAACTTAAACTTATACAATGCTCAATATTCATATGCGTTTTTTCATACTAATAATAATTTCATTTATATTCTATTCTATAACAGAAATAACTAAAATCTAAATCTGACCCACTTCATAGATCTTTTTTAATATTTTATGTTCTATATATTACACAATAACTTTATTAGATATATAATATAAAATACATTTTTTAAAAACTAAATCAATATCTTATCTTATAAATAATAAGCCATTAAATATCATATCATATTTAACCCATTATACCATATTAAATCAAGTTTAGTATAAAGAACCTCTACTCTAAATCAATTGATTAGCGATCAATTTAATTAACACAGTCCTTTATATAAAATTTTAATTTGTAACATTGATAATAAAAATTTCGCTATATAAATAACTAATATTTTATATTTTAATCAATGCTTTCGTTATAAGTATAAAATAAATAATACCATTTATCCACTTTTTTTAAAAAGTTTTTTTCTAACCTTTTCAATAAACCTTTTCTTACCTTTATTATGCCTAATTATCAAATTCACACATTTCCGCTCATTACTTTTGTTTCTAATAGTTTTTCCGAATCTAATTCTTCTACCAATTCATCTGATACAAATATATTCAGATCATATCATAGTAGAGCTGAAATAAACCAAAATTTATCAAATGCTCTAGCTCTTGACAATAATTGTTTAATACCAAATCTTACCTCCTCTTTATACACCGAATGTGTTCCTTTTTCTCAATATGCTAACCTTCAGACACTTCTAATCACATTTCAAACCAAAATATTAATTGATTATCCTTTGATCCCTTGCACATACTGTTCAATGCTGATGATGAAATCCTCAGCACAATGGATTCTTTATAATGATAATGAAAATTATTCTTTAACTTCTATTTTCAATCTTCCTGTACATACTCACTTAAATAATCAAAATAATACCAAAGTTGCAGTTTGTATCAGTTGCAAAAAACAATCAACTAGACGCTACCCACCTATATTAACATCAATCCCTTCTGAACTCCAAGATGTCCCAATGGTATATAGAAAATACTTTTCTTCAGTTCATATGAACTGCTCATTGGGTCGCTCTCCCAGCACAAACTATTACTCTAATTATCGCCACTTAGAAGGTTCTATAGGAATTACTCACAACTACAGGACTATGCAGATATATTCTGGCTCAATTGGCGCCTACCTAAACACTAATGAACCCCCTTTGTGGTTTCATACTTCATTAATTCTGGCTTCGGAATGGCTAAAAGAAAATAATACTCTAATTAGAAAATATCATACTAATTTAATAACCACTCCCCCATCCCTATTATTTCCTGTACCAATTTCTTTACCTTTAGCAAGACAATCTCTTTTAGATAACTCTTCTTAAAACCTCCGTCGAACTCATCTTTCTGATGATATACTGCACCCTCCTGACTTAGTTGTTCCAAACTTTTCATTTCCTCAAGAAATCCACAACCAAGATGCACATCACAACCATCTAATTGCTGCTTCTTTAACAAATAATAACAATACAAACCTTCTGATCCTCTTTAACAATCCCAATCTTGAAACATTAATTTTTTCTAATTTATTTCCTAATGATAAAGGTCATTACGAAGACATCAAAAGGCGCCTAAATCTTCAACCTTCTATCGACTCCTATGGCAAATATATAAAATTAAGAATGTTATGTCCTGATCCCTGCTTTCATTTACATAGGTATTGGCCACACTAGTCATACTTAACTCTCGAAAAAAAACGTCACTTTCAAAACCAGTATCACCTCCTCTCCACTTAATCCGTCAACCGTGAATACCATCCTACAAGAGCCAATCTAATCACTACAAGCTCTTATCATGATTTTCCTATTCATGATGAATCAAAAACTACTACTATTCCCCCTTACTTTAGAACTGCTGCACCCTTTTTTTAAAAAAAACAACACCAGGTTAATACAATGATAGATGCATACGGCCTTTCCCAGCTCTTTTATACAACAACTATGGCTGAAAATAGATGGTCTCATCTACACAATATCTTAATATCCACTGACAATCAAGACCTCTTACTCTCTAATCGTCCTCTACATGTGTACATGTTCTACTATAATATAAGAAATAAATTATGGAAAAACCCAAAATTAGCAGGCTGGGGTAAATGGGAACACTTTTTTGAACGTGACGAATTTCAGAACAGAGGCACAATACATACCCACGGATTTGCCTACACTGAAAAAAAAAACATATGAACTAATCTCTTTAAATACAATTTGCGCTGATATTCCAGACCCTAACATTAAACCTGACCTATACCAATTGGTTATAACTTTTCAGGTTCATCATTGCGATCACAGATGTAGACTACAAGGCTACACTAAAGAAAAATGCTTAAAAGCCTTTCCTCAACCTCTTTCCGAACATACTTATTGTATATCTGATAACCTTCATTTCATCTATCACCACACTAAAGAAGAAAATAGAATAGTCGTTCCTTACTATCCTGAAACCTTATTAATATGGAGAGGACATATAAACTTTCAATATATAACTTCAAATAGATTTGCAAAATATATGACCAAATATGTAACAAAACCGAAACTTTCAGAACTCTTTGATATCGATGAATATGATGATTATAGAAAGCATATAATGGCTCAACATCTTGGCGCGATGGAGCTAATGGTTCTTTTACTTCAATATTCTCTAACCAGATGTTCTGTCTCTGTACTCTACCTTCCATCTGCATCCTCAGAACTCAGACCAAGATCCATTAAACCTATTCATTTACTTACCTGACTAAATGATACAGAAAATAATGATATAGATGATGTAGATAGTAAATACTTTAAAACCCATATTTAAAATCTTTTTGCCTCTATTAATGTTTATTTCTTTTAAGAAATATAATATAACTTTCCATTATTTATTACTATAATTACAAGAAAACTCCACTCTTACTACTAATAAATCAATTATTCTAAATAAACAATAATTTAACCTAAATATAAAATTAACCTAAATATTAATTTCACTTACAATAATTAATATCTCAGATTAACTTTACCCTCAAAAATAATATTAATTTTTCATCTTATTTACCTTCATTAGATATCAATGAAAACCTTCCTTACTGGGATGATGTGATCAACAAATACTTCGACTATCCAGACTATAAAATCTTTGATAATATCACATACACTGACTTTTTTTCGAAATTACACCATTGGATCTAGACAACTTACTCAAAATTTACACTTATTTCATACCAGAGACCGCAAAAACAGATTAGTAATGCAAAAAAAAAATTCTATCCTTTTAAGATTTACCTCTTATAGAATAGACGATAGTGAACCTTTTTTCTTTCAGCATCTCCTTTTCAAATTTCCTTCTAGATCAGAACAAGATTTGCTTGCCAGATTCACCATCTACAGAGATCATTTCGCTGCTGTTTTCCCTATAAGATTCCGTCAAGAAATTGATGCACAAAAAAATAGCTACCTACACCAAAAACCTGCCTATCAAACACTTATACTACTATATTAAGTACCTTATTACAGGACCTAAAGAACCACGACCTATTTGACTTAATTCTAAATCAATTTTTATTCTTGAAAAAACATCGTCCTCACCTTACTTCTCGTTCCTCTTTATCTCCTTAATAATGATCAATATACAATATATTTGACTATATGTAATATATGGTGAACATCCTTATCTGGAAAATATCCTTATTTCTTTCTTACGGGATCAGCTAGAACCAGAAAGAGTTTTCTACTATATCAAATCCTTTTCTATCTACAGTCAAAAAACTTGAATTATCTACTTATAGCATCCACAGGCGTGGCTGTACATAATGTAGGAGGAAAAACTTTACACTCAGTATTAAAAATTTATTTTAATGACAGGCACTATGAAAGCTTAATCCACTTAAACGATATTAATGAAGCAGACTTAAAAAAAATAGAATTTATAATAATAGAAGAAATTTCAATGGTTGATGGAGATTTCTTTACATTTGTTAGCAATATCTTCGCCAAAATCCACAACAATAATTTTATATTTGGAGGTATACCTATCTTAGTAGTTGGTAACCTAGCCCAACTACCACCTGTCAACCCAAAATATGTATTCCAATCACCTGCCTGGTCTCCTTTCTTCTCTTTCTTCTTAACCACTTCACAATAGCAACAAGATAATCTTGAATTCTATAATATCCTACAAGAAATACGTGTTGGTAGGCTCTCTACCAGATCACTATCCATTATCCAATCCAATATCAATGCCGACAACAATCCCACCCAATTCTATAATACCATACACATCGTAGGCACATGTCACACAGCTCAAACCATAAACCAACTTCTATATACCTATCTTCCTTTTGACCAAGAAACCTCTAAACCCTTTCTTTCCCGATCTGAAGACACTATAGATTTTGAACCCCTAGATCAAAACCACTATTACTCTCAATTCAAACACTCAACAAACTTACCAGACTTTATCCATCTTCAGAAAGGAGCTCGCATCATGTTCCTTAACAATAAATTATTCAATGATGATATATGCAATAGATCTATAGGAATTGTAACAAGCCTTATTAATGATAACAATGTTGAAGTAACCTTCCCAACTTTCTCTAACATCGCCAAAGTCATAGTTCAAAAAGAAACCTTTTATTTCTATATAGACAGGAAAAGAGCATCAAGTA